GAAACCAACAATGCGCCTTCGCGCCAAACTTCAAACTATTGGGTATATTGTTATATATTGTATATTGTTCTCATATGGGTTAGGAGGAATGTTATCCCAGGAAATTGACAGAACACTACGTTACACACCCCTAAATTATTTTTTGGACGATATTTTTTTTTTGTAATGTGGTATTAAAAATACATACAACCCTAAATTTTCTCTTCTACCACCACCTGCCCCTATTTTTATGGCGGTACGAAGTTCGCTGGGTCAGCTAGTAATTATGTAATTTTTTTTTTTTATAATTAGGTAGGCAAATGACTTTACCCCACCTGATGTTAAGTGGTAATAAAGTCCAAACGCGAAGATAGTTTTGCTGAATGCTAATAACCTGTTTCCTTTGTGTTCTCGAGCTTAAATGACACTATAACTCTTGTTCGTTGCGATGGTTCTCAACACCTTACCAAGAATAATTTTCACAGTTTTTGAACAAAACAGAAGACAACTCCTAGTTACCCAAAAAATTAATGCTACATAGAGATAGATAGCGCTCTCTAAGATCCGCGTTTCCTGAAACGCCATAAAATCACTTGTCACAACTACGTGTACCCTCACAGAACACAGATAAAGGTTAAAAGCCTTCAATTACCTCGTGACGTGGCGTCACTAAGCGTGTTCTATCGTCTGTACCACGGCAAGTGTTCTGAGGAGTTAATTCTCTCTTATTCCACCTTCCCCTTTCCTTCAGAGGACAACGCGCGCTGGATTACGTTGTCACCGTCTAACTACTGTGGCTACAATTCCAACGCGTACAAAGAAATTTGTTGACTCATTTCTTTGTCGTACTATCCGTAAATGGAATGCTCTGCCCGCTCACGTGTTCCCTCCCTCTTACAACCTGGGATCCTTTAAAAGAGGCGTGAAGAAGCAACATGCAGACCGGCAGGGTGAGGATGGCTGGTGTGGCAGGTAGAACTGCTGTATCAGCTATCTTCGCGTCTGGACTTCACTTAACATCAGGTGGGGTGGAATCATTTGTCGGACCTATCTATATAAAAAAACGGCCTAGTGGGTGGGGCAGGAGCCCCACAATAATTTGTGAGCAAATGCTCATAACTTGACCAAAACGTTGTTGTGATTGCACCGTTGCTCTCGGGTGTGAGCGCTAATTAGTTCGATTGTTTGATGTTGCTTCGTTTGATTGGCTATTATCTATTAGGTGGAAGTGTCGTGGGGGCGCGCCGCGACGTCGATATCGGTTCCCGTACAAACTGTTTATGATCACCCTTCTAACCTCTTCTGTATGTACCCTTTACTATGATCTAGCTATGATCGCGGTAAATTAGTATGGACATGACGATGACGTTCCAAGGTACGCAACTTAATATTTCCAACTGACTGAGCTTTAGTGTTTTTTTATGTCGTCAGTTTAAGAAATAATGTTATTCAGAAGTTGCGATGCCCTAGCAAGATTCATGTTTGGCACCGGTATTATTTTGTTTAGTACATAACCTTTACAACCGCATGATTGCAATAAACACTTGAACTCTACATAAATGTTGACTTGATATGTGGATTGTCTGTGTGTACAAACAGACGCATATCAAGTTTCCCAAAAGTTGCAAAATCCAAATATTTGAACCTGACTTTTGACCTCTGCACCAACTGCTTGACTTAAAATTCAAAATCTGTTGTGATAATTTGACAATTCAATCAAATACTTCAATGTATATTAAGGTAACTTTATGTGTGGCTGTCTGTACAGATTGAACTGACGTAGTTTTACGTATCAGACAGGATTAAAAATTTCATATTTAGTGGTGAAGTTTTTGAATGTGAAAATGTCTTTAGGTCCTGCTTAATGGAATGGTCATGGTCATCTTACAGACTATAACAACATTTCGATCTACGTCTAAAGGTTTTTGTGTAGGCGGGAATAATGGTAATAAATAATCCCAAGCGGACTGTAGTAGTGGCCAACCATACATACACTAAGGCCCGTATTACAGAATGACAACTAAGTGTTGATCTTTACTTGAGTACAGTTAGAAAGGGATATCGCTATGTGCTATATATAGCGACATCCCTTTCTAACTATGCTCAAGACTGGATCAATGACTGAGAATCTTTCTTTATTATGGGTCTAAGTGAGCCGCACACGGGCAACACGCAGTGTTGCCAGGTCTCCAGATTTTACAGGGGATCTCCTGTTTTTCTACATGAATCTCCTGTTTTTTTAGAATACGATTTTCTTTTTTAAATTGCATGTTGAGTTGCATTTTTCGTCATTAATAATGTAAATAACCTTAATAATTATAAAATAAATGTAATTGTCTAAAGAAAAAATAGCTTTGAGGGGCGGCAGAAGCCACTGAAACACATTCGTTACTGATTCTTCTCTGATCTTGATGTGATTTACCGATTCGGGGGGGGGGGGGGGGGTGCAAATCGGAAAAAAGTACACCTCTGCATCTACTGTTTTTTTCTATAACGCCTCCCGATTTTTGATAATCCGACCTGGCAACACTGGCCACACGCCGCCACGAGAAGCTAGAAGCGGCTACTAAAGTGGCTGAGGCGCGCGACAGCGGCCGACTAAGGCCCGTATTCTAGAAAGATTCTCCGTGATTGATCTAGTCTTGAGCATAGTTAGAAAGGGATGTCGCTATATAAGTATAGCACATAGCGACATCCCTTTCTAACTGTACTCAAGTAAACATCAACACTTAGTTGTCATTCTTCTCTTTGCCCGTATTACGGGCCTTAGGTAAGGGAGAGAGGGGTGGGGGTAATATTGTGTTGTGTTCAAGTATACAAATTATATTATGTTCAGCCATATTCTGTCTTGTTGACATGCAATGTTATTACATTTAGTTCACTATTAATTACATTATTCTAACAATGTCAATTAAGTACTTATATTAATCTAAAAAGAAATTATAATTTGATAAATGAGATGTCTAAGTCACATTTTGAAAGTAATAATAATAATAATGGATATATACAAAAACCTTACCATAATGCCAAATTAAATTATAGGTCAAATTACAAGATAGGTCATTTAAATAAAATTAAATAAAATAAGAAAACAGGAATACAAATGGATTACAATATTATTTTAATTAATCGCGCGAGTGACGTGTGGCGGCGTTTTGTATCGACGCGTTAAGTGGCCGGTGCGGTCCACAAGAAGCGTGCAACGACGATTTGTAGCGTGTGGCGGCCACCGGCGTACTGTGTGTGGCGAGCCATATAAAATGTATGAAAACTACAAGAAATATGCCGGTGACGGCGTTTTGTGGTTGTGGTCGGTGCCCCGTGTGCGGCGACACTAATAGAAGTATCACATTTGGACATTAGACAATATTACGTCAACAACAAAAACAAATCCTGTTTGTTTACAACATCCGAGCTCACTCTTTTTGTTTATTGAAAACAAAATAAACGGCGGCAGTTAACCCGTAATCAACGGTCGTAAACCTTGGTGTGTTTTATTCTTCTTTTTTTTACAGTTGACCACTCAAATAATCTTTGTGTAATTCGGTATCATAGCAAATGGTAGTAAAACTAAATTTAATTGCGTCGTATTTTTGTTTTGTTTTATTGAAGGTGCATCTTGTATATTCCACCATTCTAAGGATAGCCGATACGATTACTGAAGCACTGGTATGGGATATTACGATATCACCGTGGCTGAAGTCGCAAAAAAAGTTTGGTTTGATATCTGGTCTGGAGATCAAAAACGGCGACACTTGTATGAAACATCTAGAATATGTTTAATTTGAGCATTCTCCCTTTCATGTACATAAGTGGTCTCACCTACTCATCTCACATTTTTTGTAGGCAAAGGTGGTTGGTGTAGGTAAAGATGGGTAAATATATATTTTAAATGATCGTTTGCTGAAGTAGTAACCGGCGCCGACCCCGTTAGTTTTGCGGTCAACTCTCGTTAATAGTACAGCAGCTCTGGAAATAAACCTAGTCATGAATATTGCCAATGTTTAGGATATATATTATTTCTATGGCGGTACGACTTATCTCTATTGATAATCGCTCACCTGTAGATGTGATCTACACAGACCTTTCGAAGCCTTTCGAGAGGGTTCCTCACTCTATCTTATTCCGGAAAATATCCAAATACAATTTTTGCTGGATTTTTTCTCAAATGATGCGCTTCTTACTTAAGTAATCGTACTTCAAAGGTCATATATGTGTATACAAATCTGATCCTTTTCCAAATCTTAGTGGAGCTCCTCAAGGCTCCCATTTGGGGCCAACATTCTTTAATATATATGTAAATGACGTGGCAGAATACTTTATAAATTGCCAAGTATATCTTTATGGAGACGATCTTAAATTAATGAGACCAATCAAAAATTTGCAAGATGTTTGCTTGATGCAAGATGATCTAAATATTTGAACTGTTGGTCTATTTAAAACAAGATGATTTTAAATGTACAGAAATGTTGATATGTCCGCTTTACTCGTAACCCGGAATGTGCCTGGATCATAAACAATATCAAACCAAGCAATCCGAGAAGTCGAGAATGTTCATGATCTTGGTATAATCCTAGATAAAAGTTGAGTTTAGGAAAACATTATGATTATTTTGTTTCTAGATCACTCAAATGTCTAGGATTCTTAATAAGAAACACTCAAATCTTTAAAAAGAAACACCCATAATAAGACTGTGTGAAAGCCTTGTTAGATCTACCCTCGAATACTGAAGTACAGCTTGGAACCCTTATTATGATGTACTTCGAATAAAATAGAACGCGTGCAAATGAGGTTCTTATATCAAGCTGCACGGATAAAATGAACTTTTAAAGCATTTAAAATTTTCATCACTCAAAAATCGACGCAATATTTTAAGTATATCTCTATAGGGTTGCAAATGGTAACATAAATTTCCCCCAACTGAGACACAAGGTAACAGGCAGAAAGACAGACGGACTCACTTTCGCATTCATAATATTAGTATGGATGTATTCTAATAATGATGTTTGTTTGTTGAACAGGTTTCGCTATGAGTGCGAGGGGCGGTCGGCGGGTTCGATTCCCGGGGTGCACAGCACGCCCGAGAACAAGACCTTCCCCACTATCAAGGTGTGCGGCTACAAGGGCTGCATGGTCATCGTGGTGTCGTGCGTCACCAAAGACGAGCCTTATAAGTGAGCATTATACGTCAGCTTCTATTTTTTGTTCGGTTGAACGCGCTAATAAAATATGTTAAAACTAGCGGCCCGCCCTCGCTTCGCTTCGGTGTAGAGCTGAAGTGTAGACTACAGTTTTCGTTCTCAGGCTTGTATTATACACAATGACATTCATCTATGATTCTTCTTATACCTGCATGCAAAGTCTCAGCCCGATCGGTTTAAAATTGACAAAGTTTCATACAAACTTTCATTCCCTATTTTATCCCCTTGGGGGTAGAATTGATCAAAATCCTTTCTTAGCGGATGCCTACGTCATAACATCTACCTGCATGCCAAATTTCAGCCCGATCCGTCCAGTGGTTTGGGCTGTGCGTTGATAGATCACTATGTCAGTCAGTCAGTCACCTTTGAGTTTTATATATATAGATAAAATCTCACTTCTGATTCCGGTAGATGTCATTTTTGACATTAGTTTGATATACATTACGCCATTACACGGCGCGGCCAGATGCTGGCTTATCAATTTCGGGACATTTGCATCCCCCCCTCCCTCGAAAAATAAAGCATCAAATAAACCCCTCATCATCCCCCGGAATTAAAACATCTGGTCTAATTACTGGACACGGGACAAGGCGCAACATTTCGGGACAATCCCGGATTTACCGGCCGAGTGGTTTGTACGCCGTGTTTCATAGTGTCGCCGGCTCGAGAGGTTCCGGGTTCGAATCCCGGTGGGGGCAGATGTTTGTGTGATGAATACGAGCATTTGTACTCCAGTCATGCATGTTTAATATGTATTTCTATATAAATATACTTATATATGTACAGTATATGTATTCTATCTGTTACCCTAGTATCCCATAACACAAGCCTTATAGTGCTTAGCTTGGGGCTAGGCTAATTGGTGTGAGTGTTGGAAATATTTATTTTATTTATTTATTTTATCTAGCAAGCCTACTGTAGGAACAACCAATATTAGATATTGGACATTTGTCGGAAATCCAAATAAATGAGGTCGTAAGTGGGATTGCATCATACAGAATACCTCCGCTGGTCCGATTAGAAAAAAAATATTAGTGTGTTGGATAGTGCATTTATCGAGGAGGGTTTGAAGGTTATAAACATATACGATACGATCAATAGCAGCAATGAAACATTTTTATATTAAAAGGCCGGCAAACAAGCCTATTGCCCGCCCGAAGATAAGCGGCCGAAATAGCCTGTAGACATAGGATGTATTCCGTAATACAGGATGTTACAAAATTACAAATAAAGCTTGAAGGGCGTTGAAGTACATCATATAATGAGTCTTCTCTAATTTTCTTAAAATATTTGCATAAAGTTTTAACTTTTTATAAAAACAGTTATTTTTAATGATTAATAAAAATATCGATCATTTTAAGACACGTCACTAGTTGGAGGATCACTAAAAATAACTATTTTTATAAAAAGTTAAAACTTCATGCAAATATTTTAAGAAAATTAAAGAATACTCCTTATATGATTTACTTCAACGCCCTCCAAGCTTTATTTGTATTTTTGTAACATCCTGTATATACCAGTATACAGGCCAGTGCACTGACGTCATAAATCGACGAAATATTAAAAATAGTTCGAATAAAGAAGATTCTTTAATCACCTCATCAATTAAAAGGAATTCTTTTTGTTCGAATGCCGTTATTTTTCCTTAAATAAAAAAGAAATAAAATTCGAATGCATCTCACGTACGCTCGCTCATACGTCATATTCGTTTTCCCGGTAAAAATATGGTAGCATACCAGTACAATATGGTGTCGGCTTCGTGACGTCATTACCACTGGCCAGTATACTGATGTTTATTTCGGAATACACCCATAGGCTGCATGCTGCTTTGAACGTTACATAAGTGACACCTCCGTGGCCGAGTGGTTTGTACGCCGGGTTTCATGGTGTCGCCGACTCGAGAGGGGTTCGAATCCCGGTGGGGGCAGATGTTTGTTGTGTGATGAATACGAGCATTTGTACTTCAGACATGGATATTTGATAAGTATTTCGATATAAATATATTTATATATGTACAGTGTATGTATTCTATCCGTTACCCTAGTATCCCATAACACAAGCCTTACAGTGCTTACTTTAGAACTAGGTTAATTGGAGTGAGTGTTTAAAAATTTTAAATTACAATTTATGCTCATGGGGACCATCCATAAATTATTACCTACACAGGAAGCAGGGGAGAGGGTTAGCGGAAAAATATAACAGGGGTCACGAATTGCCGGGAGTTATTATAAAACTTCCTTGAATTTCTTTATATAATTATAAATTCACAAGGTCGCGGTAGTATAATTGGTCAGTGCTTCCGCCCGGATAGCGGAGGGTGCCGGTTGCAGTCCCGTGCGTTATCTTGTCGTGTATCTTTTTAGACCGAACCTGAAGCTCTATTCTCTTTTTCCGAAACGAAATTTCGACAACGAACGAATTTTAAACGAAATTTTGCCAGTGACTCTTCTCTATTTCATCTTCGAACACGGACATAAAGTTCGGAATCACAGACAATTACCGTGAACGAATGGAATGAGTGATGTTTGTGAATTCTTTTCGTCTACACTTTTTAGATAACGTCTTTTACTTACTATGTATGTCAACCTAAATTTGTCGTGTAACACTTTGAAGTATTGGCAATATAATAATAAACAAAAATAAGGTTTATTTGTAAATCTTTCTTACTAAAAAATGTTCCTCACGCTAAGCAGCCTTAATTAAAAATACTCTAGTAGTAATTTTAGGTTTAATTTAAACAAAAATCCCAAAACGAAAATGAAAAGGTAACACTTTTCATTTCGTCAATTTGAGGTTAAAATTTCGAACAATTATCTGTCAAATTCAACTTTTAGTTCAAAAGTTTTGTGAATTAGAGTAGGCTTAGAGATTTTAAATGTCAAACTATTTTCGAACGAACGAATTTTCGAAATGAAATAGAAACAGAGTAAGGAACGTGCGAAATTTCGACCGTCGTTTTTCGTTGAAATAGAGTAGGCCTCCTGTTTAAATCAAATGCGGTCTAGAGGCTGTATCATGTTTTCCTCGAGGTGACGTAAGGATACGCGTGTCGACTCGTCATTACTTTCACTTGTTTCGAGTACGGGCCGACCTTCAACGCACCTCACCGGCCAAATTCAACTCGGATATAGATGAATTCTTTACCTTCTTGTCGACATCTCTGATTTTTCTTTTTATAATATATAAGCACCTGTTAATTTTACAATTAATAATTACTAAATAACTAGCGGCCCGCCCTCGCTTCGCTTCGGTGTAGAGCTGAAGTGTAGACTACAGTTTTTGTTCTCAGCCTTGCATTATACACAATGATATTCATCTATGATTCTTCTTATACCTGCATGCAAAGTCTCAGCCCGATCGGTTTAAAATTGACAAAGTTTCATACAAACTTTCATTTCCTATTTTATCCCCTTGGGGGTAGAATTGATCAAAATCCTTTCTTAGCGGATGCCTACGTCATAACATCTACCTGCATGCCAAATTTCAGCCCGATCCGTCCAGTGGTTTGGGCTGTACCTTTGAGTTTTATATATATATAGATTTGTAATTACTATATTTGTTTAAGCATTTAACTGCTAAATATTTAAATCTAAAGAAAATTTTCCTAGAAAAACATCCACGTGGTCCAGGCAACACACGGGACTCGAATTCGCACCCTCTGCTATCCGGAAGGATGTACTGACCCAATCACCGCAACCTTTATGACCGTGTCGAATCTCTCTAGTATTTCTTAGGGAACAAGGCAGCGCCATCTCTTCGCATTATAGGTAACCCACAATGTCAAAGAAAATACCTTTACAAGTGTTAATAAACATTATTAATCATTTGAAAGAAGATATAGCAAAAAGTGTAGTTTACTGTATTTTAAATGTTTCCCAAGTTCATTGCGGTGTTTACCCTTCCAGGCCGCACCCGCACAACCTGGTGGGTCGCGACTGCAATCGAGGAGTGTGCACTGTGAAGGTGCACACTGAAGGCGACGCGGACGCCTTCCACGTGCAGTTCAAGAACCTCGGCATCCAGTGCGTCAAGAAGCGCGACATCACGGAGGCACTGCGCGTGCGACAGGAGATGCGCGTCAACCCGTTCAAGAGTGAGTCGATACAATAGGTGGAGAACTTTGGCATCCAGTGCGTCAAGAGATGCGCGTCAACCCGTTCAAGGAGAACCTCGGTATCCAGTGCGTCAAGAGATGCGCGTCAACCTGTCATCATAATCATAGCGTATGGCCGATGGAACTGCGTCATCCTAAACCTCGATTTTCAAGTGTTTTCAGCCATTCTATGGCCGCAAGCGTCAATTCGTACCCTTCTAACTTGAGCTGCGAAATACGGACACAGGGTCCAATATTTCTTGTCTGGGGTCCTAAGAAGGAACATTTTTAGAGGTGCCTCTAGGCAGGCTAGGTTTAGGATGCATGGTGTTCTGCATGGAAAGCACTGCGAGATTATCAGATGGTAAGTAGAGAACAGTCCGGTGTACCAGTGAAGTTCAAGAGCGTTTAGCCGGATTTCGCTTAGAAGCTTCCAGAAGAAGCCAGTACCAGCTTCTCCCTTTGGATCGCATCCAGCGCCGAGCGGCTCGAACCGTCGACGACCAGGACCTTTCCGATCAGCTTGATCCTTTGGCTTTTCGTAGGGATGTAGCTTCGCTCTGCATCTTCTATAGCATTTATCACGGGGAGTGTTCTGAGGAATTGTTCGGATTAATTCCAGCTGCTGCATTTCGCCATCGTACATCGCGACAAAAATTTCACCCCCATCATCTTTGTGCGTTTTTGTCGAATTTTTTTACCACGAACGACAAAACTGTGGAATATATTGTCGCCAGCAGTGTTTCCGGACCAATACGACCCAAAAACCTTAAAAAAAAGAGCGTACTCCTTCCTTAAAGGCCGGCATCGCATTTGTGATACTCCTGGTGTTGCAAGTGTTCATGGGCGACGGTAATCACTTACCATCAGGTGAGCCGTCTGCTCGTATGCCCCCTATAACATAAAAAAAAGCTATTCGGTTACCCAGGGTGAACCGCGAGGAGGTAGTTCTTCACCAGCTCCCACCCCAGGTACCGCGTCAACCCGTTCAAGAGTGAGTCGATACAATAGGTCGAGAACCTCGGCATCCAGTGCGTTGAGAGATGCGCATCAACCCTTTCAAGAGTGAGTCGCTTGTGATATACTAGAGGACACCCGCGACTTTGCGTTGAAAATTTGTTTTCTCATATAAACTTCCATTTTCTTTTTTCAAACACCTCAAAATCCTTTGTCCTTTCCCAGGACTTAAACTATCTCTATATCAAATTTCATCTAAATCGATTTATGCTTAAGAGAGAGCCAGACGCATTTCCGCATTTATAGTCATCATCATCATCATCATCAGCCTCTTAATGTCCCCACTGCTGGGGCACAGGCCTTCCCTATGGATGGAATAGGGAGATTGGGCCATGACCCACCACGCGGGCCCATTGCGGATTGGCGGGTGTTAACGACTGCAGATGCAACCGGGACCAACGGCTTAACGTGCCTTCCGAAGCACGGAGGAACTCGAGATAGAAATTTGTGGTCACCCATCCAACGACCGACCACTGCGAAAGTTGCTTAACTACAACGATCTCAGCCGAACGCGCTAACCACCTGCGCCATCGAGCTCCTCCTTGTGGCATTTATAGTATTAGAACGAAAATAAATCCCAACACATGACTTTATCCAACCCACCCCGACTACCCCGAGGTAAAGCGAGTGGAGCGATTGGTCACTGTAGCGGCCCGGTAGCAAAAGGGCCTGTACAGTTTGAGTATAAAAATAATAGTATAACAACACAGTATAAAAAAACATATCTACTATATAAAAATAAGTCGGGTTTTCCTTCCTGACGCTATAACTCCAGAACGCACGAACCGATTTCCACGGTTTTGCATTCGTTGGAAAGGTCTCGGGCTCCGTGAGGTTTATAGCAAAGAAAATTCAGGAGAAATTAAAAAAAAAAACTTCTTTTATTCACCAAACGAAATGTTACATAAAACGAAGCCATCTGGTGGCGAAACGGAGTTCGCGGGGTTTGCTAGTGGGATATAAAACAAACCTGTAAACCTTTTATCGTATACGAAATTTATTATAATAATACTAGAATTCATTGCTTACCATTAATAAATAATAATAATCAATATTTCCAACACTCACACCAATTAGCCTATCCCCAAAGTAAGCACTGCAAGGCCTGTGTTATGGGATACTAGGGTAACGGATAGAATACATATACTGTACATATATAAGCATATATATAAAGAAATACATATTAAACATCCATGACTGGAGTACAAATGCTCGTATTCATCACACAAACGTCTGCCCCCACCGGAATTCGAACCCGGGACTTCTCGAGCTGGCGTCACCATGAAACACGGCGTACAAACCACTCGGCCACGGAGGTCGTCAAATTAACTAACATGATGACGTTTGAACAAATATATGAAATTTATTTTTTTAATATTATAAAAATACTATAGTTATTTAAACTATATCGGCTTAAAACTCTTCTTCAACTCCTGAGATGTTAAAACATGGGACGAAGGCTATAGAACATGCGAGCGAAGCCGCGCGTGTAATGCTAGCCTATTCAAAAAACCCATTAGCTTTCAATAGAGCTACTAACACTTTATGATGAACGAGGAAGTGAAAGTTGTGATTGTGGACACACATTATAGGCATGTACAGATACAGAAAAAACAGCACATCACAGGTGGACAAAATTCTGCCAACAATTTGAACTTTAATACTGACGTCTAAGGTAGAAAATCGGGCGTGAATCTATTATAATCGGATGCGTTACAAGTGCGTGTGCGCCGCCGCCGCAGACAAAAATAGAGCGACGTGCATTGTTACCACATACGCCTTCCAAAATTCAATGAACTGAAATTGAATTTACGCTCCAAATTATTTGCAGTTAACTCCCAGAACAAGGACTAATTGTTTTTTTGTTGAAGTTCTCCCGTTATAGGGTAGGCAAAGAGAACAATGCCCATACAGCCTGATTTTTAGTTAAATTAATCTTCTTTTTGTTTTTACATTAGAATGTCGGTGTGACGCATTCTAATGTTTCTTGGAGTGTTTGGCACGAAATGTATCGAGTTGGCTTTTTCGATAAGCTTCTGTGAGGTAGTCAACACTACAATAAAATTCTCACGTCCACTTGACCGGAATAGCGTATATTTTAAAGATTCCACTAATTCTTCAGTTACGCAGACAGTTGTTACACAAAACCACATAAATTTATTTTCTCAATATCCACTATGAACGAATTTAAGAATAATTAAAATAAGACGCCAACCGCACTCGATGAAATCCCGTCAAAAAACCGAACAAGGACTAAATAGAAGTAATGCTTTGGCGTTTGGGTGTACACTAGTGTTGCCAGGTCCGATTTGTTTTAAATCGATACATGAGGTCAAAAAAATCGGGGCTTAGGGTTGCAGATCGGGACAGTAAACACAATACAAGGGATTTTTAGGTCTGGGTTTATTTATAGCGTTTTAAACTACTAGTGCAAGTATAGTATTATACTAGCAAACCAGTGAACCAAATGTTCACCAAAAAAAAAAAGTATTTAATTAATTGAGAACTTCGGAGATTTTCTGTGGTTTCGGTTGAAATTCGTGATTTCTCGAAAACCGGAAGTGCTACGTTACTCAAATCCGGTTTGTAGTCTTATCAGACTATTCTTAACTTATAACTTAAATATTCTATTTATCTATCTCTTACGGTTTGGCCGCTGAAACAGCACCACAGACAGACGGACGGACGGACTTGTCTAATAGATAAGAGATTAATTAACTTGTTTTCGTTCTTTGATTAATCGGGACATTTAGCGTCGCGATAAGGTACAAATCGGGACGCGTCCCCAGACCCCTGAAAATCGGGACGTCCCGCGCAAATCGGCACACCTGGCAACACTAGTGTACACCCCCATAGGCAATAGATTAACGAAAATATTTGCAAACAAAAAGTATTAGTGGCGTGTTGATATAATTATTATTACATTTGATATTAGAATGCTTCACTATTGATTCGGCATCGTTAAGGTCCAGCCATACAAAGGTATTCTCAATTAGACGTTTTTATAACGGTACGCACGCTGTTCATAATATGGTTTATAGCAACACTAGCGGCCCGCCCTCGCTTCGCTTCGGTGTAGAGCTGAAGTGTGGACTACAGTTTTTTTTCTCAGGCTTGTATTATACACAATGACATTCATCTATGATTCTCCTTATACCTTCGTCGATCAGTTTAAAATTGACATAGTTTTATACAAAGGACATCGCCGAAATCGGCCCTAGCATGCCCAAAAGAATGTCCTTCACTATTATTTTTCTATTATTTTTTTAACTTATTAGCATTTAATCATAGTAAACGGACAATCTGTTTAGAAATATAAAAAATAAAAGTTCTGTTACTAGATACTACAGTCTGTTCATCCAACTTGTCCTATTTGGTAAACAATCTTGGCACTCCTTTTTATTGAAAATACAGCATTAAAAATCAACTGATAACGGGATTCAATAGGTTTCAGTCTATAATAACGATTTATTTTAATAGTTTATTGGTTTCGTTAATATTTTATTATTATATGGGTGATTCTGTTAAAAAGTTGTGCCAAGATTGTTTACCTTAATAAATGTAATATAGGCGACCATAGGTATTTATCAACATGAAAATAGAACTAGGTACCTTAGTTAATAATACTTATTACTAGTATTTATATTATATTTATAAAAAGATTATTTCTGAAATAATGTAAAGATAGTTCATTACCGATAGTAAAATATAGAAACAGGTAAATGGAAAGACTTTCATTTGAAAAGAAATCTATTATTACTACAGGTAGGTATAGGTACGAGTAACATAGGTGACAATTGCCAACACTCATAAATCAATATGAATATGAGCATTTATTATTTTTATTATTATTTGCATTTTATGTTCATTAAATGCATATTATTTAAGTGCTTACATAGAGGTAAACACTAAATCTTTTCAGAATATGTAAAGTGTACATCTTTTACGATTACGTATAATAATTATAACCTTAAAATCTAATATATTCCGTAGTATGCCACGGTTCCTCAAGTTGTCCGTATCTCAACAAATGCCTAATTAGAGTTTATAAATGATTCCGAACACAACTAGCATTTTCTCGTTGCTGGGCGTTCTAGGGCATTCAATGTATGGGGAACGAGCAATGTCCTTTTCATTCCCTATTTTATCCCCTTGGGGGTAGAATTGATCAAAATCATATAAATAAATAAATATTTCCAACACTCATACCAATTAGTAAGGCTTGTGTTATGGGATACTAGGGTAACGGATGGTATACATATACTGTACATATATATATATATATATATATAGAAATACATATTAAACATTCATGAATGGAGTTCAAATGCTAGTATACATCACACAAACATCTGCCCCCACCGGGATTCGAACCTCTCGATCCGGCGACACCATGAAACCCGGCGTACAAACCACTCGGCCACGGAGGTCGTCGATATGTAAAAATAAGATAACTATATGAGTCGACTTTACGAGTTAATTGTTATCATATCATTAATTGTTCATCTGCATTTTGATTGCTGTGTATCTAGACATTAACATCTTCAATAGCACAGTAGTTAGGGCAGACTCATCTCCGCTGGCAACACCCGTTCACGAGCATGACCCATGAACCAGCCATCGATTCGCTCAATTATATTTTACGGTACGTAGTGACCCGCCTCACACGACACCACCGAAGAGACTTTTAAGAGAGCATGACTACACATAACAATCTTTACTAACTACAACATATTTTCTTAAAATTAAGGTTCATTTATCTGTAGGACACTGCAAACAATTACAAAAGCAATGGAGAAATCACGACAACGACGTTTGGTCATTTAAGTATTCTTAAATGGTCTAATATTCTTCCTTAAGTAATCAACTTGTAATACCGCTTTAAATTCAAGTAAAGTTAATTAAGTTCAATTCAATTATGAATAATGTGTTGCCACCAACTCATGATTCATAATATATTTCATATAGAAATGCCTCTTGGAATGGTTGGAACAGTTCCAATCCAAGGATTTTTGTCTGTCATATAATCAGTTGGTTGAAAGATTTTATTGTATCTTTACAGTTAACATATTTAAATTGACTAGTACATTGTGTTATGTTTTCTTATAATATTGATTCAGCAGCAATGGGGAGTCCAAAGATTTTGTAGTTGAAACTGTCATATCAGTGACAAAATTCCTAAATGCAACTCCACCATCTGTTTCATTGTTTATAATGTTCTATGTCGTTTTGATTTCGTCATAACTATTCTTAATCTTACAAGTTAAATAATTTAATTTAGCTGTGCGACATACTTTTTTAAATAACTTAGAATAATTACGTACGTACTCTCTGAAACTTAAAAACTATAAAAAGGACACCCGGCATATTGTGCCAAAGTTGTATACTTTTTTAATTTTTTTTATCTGTGTTTCATAATTGGGTAACGTAGTCTGGCAATATTTGTCATCAGCAGCTAGCTGTCAATCTCAAATACGTAGGTTTGTCAATATAACCTCTATATGTAGCCGGTTCGTCAAGAGAAATATCGGATAAAAAGGCAATCACAGCCGAGAACATTCACAATCACAGTACGCTGGAGCGGATGCGAAATGCGAATGATTTTTTTGTATGTATTTTAGGATTTTCATATCAAAAAATATTAATCATTATATAACTTTTTTCCACGATTCACTAAAAATAAGGCAAAAGTAGTTTTATGTAGCAAATAATTTTGGAAAACGTGAAAACCTAAGAAACAAATAAATAATTTTGGCTTTATTTTGAGACCAAATTCAACTGTATACAAGTTTAGCATTTTTTCTATGAAAAGTGCCGGGTCTCCTTTCATGTAAATCGATTCAGTTTTTGCGTGATTAATAACAAACATATATAATATCTAATTTATAATATTAGTAGGATTTTAATTAAGTAAAGATTTAATGGCGGCGTGTTGTTCACAGCTGGATACGGCCACAAAAGCCAGCCGCAGAGCATAGACTTGAACGCCGTGCGGCTTTGCTTCCAGGTGTTCCTCACAGATGAATCCTATAAGGTAAATCTTCATCATCAGCTTATCAATGTCCCCACGGATTTGAAGTGAAACTTCTTTACGCACGCTTGACTTGGGGGGTAAGCTGGCGAATGCGTTACGCGTTACGAAAAGTGTGTTCTGGCGAGGTGAACGGGAATAGGGATGATGACTAATTTTTTTTCTTCGTTTATCAGGTAGATAATCAAAAAGTATTGGACACGTTTTTCTTTTTTCACATAATATAAACAATGCAGAGATATATTGATTTGAAAAGTCGCATGACGACACGTTTGAGTACACTTTTAAGCGAATATTCACTAAAAAGTACTCCCAAACTTTGACGCGCTATAACTTTATCATTTTTTGGTTGATTGCCCAAAGAACGTGTCCATTATTTTTTGATCATCTAACTGACGGACTAAATAGAATTTCGTTTATTGTACCCCGTCATCACTCCTATTGAGTGGAGTAATATATGCAAGAGAAAGCAGTGCGCGCGCACATTTTCTTTCTCTTTTTCTCTTATAGTGCTTTTTTGTACTTTTCACTTTGGTGCAATGATGTTCAGATTTTATGAAATTAAGCATACTAATCTTATGTCTCAAATTGGAGCTATGGAATTTGATGCCCGATTTAATTTGTCAGAATTGCTCTGTACCCTTAGCGCGAACCATTATCGAATTCGAATAGTTAAATTCGATCTATTTTATACGTCAAATGTGTACCGATTTTTAGTCCTTGTTACGTCCTTGTAGCGTTGCTGTTCAAGTTTCCATACAAAATTTGACAATACCATTTCGCACTCGCAAACTAATCGAATTCGATATTTGTTCGTGCTAAGGCTACTGCATCTAGGGTTGCTCATCAGCCTCCAGAATTAAAACATCAAGCAGGCCAGCGGTGTCATTCGTTGTTAGTTTATTTTTTTACGAAACTAGCACATAATCGGAATCCGGGACATTATGACCTAACTAGCGGCTCGCCCTCGCTTCGCTTCGGTGTAGAGCTGAAGTGTAGACTACAGTTATTGTTCTCAGGCTTGTATTATACACAATGACATTCATCTATGATTCTTCTAATTCCTGCATGCAAAGTCTCAGCCCGATCGGTTTAAAATTGACAAAGTTTCATACAAACTTTCATTCCCTATTTTATCCCTTTGGGGGTAGAATTGATCAAAATCCTTTCTTGGCGGATGCCTACGTCATAACATCTACCTGCATGCCAAATTTCAGCCCGATCCGTCCAGTGGTTTGGGCTGTGCGTTGATAGATCACTATGTCAGTCATTCACCTTTGAGTTTTATTTAAATACTAGCTGACCCAGCGAACTTCGTACCGCCCTAAAAAAATAGTTGTTGTCCAGCGGACAAAATTGTGAATCTAAACCATTCTCAGATCCCCTTGAACACACACAAAAAATTTCATCAAAATCGGTCCAGTCGTTTAAGAGAAGTTCAGTGACATACACACTCACAGAAGAATTATATATATAAAGATATAGATTACTGGACATGGGAATGGGGAATATATAACTATTTGAATATTGTTGTGGTTACAGGTGCAACGCGCCTTACAGCCTGTGGTATCGGATGTTGTTTACGACAAGAAGGCGATGTCGGAGCTGCTCATTGTACGATCGTCGCACTGCTCCGGGCCCGTGAGGGGGGGGACCACCGTCATACTGCTCTGCGAGAAGGTTTGTGTTGTTCCAACTGTATGTGTGTATAGAGTTCTACCCAGAATGGATAGAACTTGGGGACGTGACTCTTCAGTAAAACAACTAGACGATAGTTAATATTTTATATTTATCATTCAGGCGATTATAAAGAATTTTTATCTAAATACGAGAGGAAGTTCTTGGTGCCTGAAGATCTAATCTAGAATGGAACCTTCTATCAAAAGACGGACGATTCCTTATTTTAAATTAAAATCATGACATTATCTTTTTAATATAACTGCCAACCGTAGGCATTGCAAAAGCAAAGAGTTTACTTAAACAAGGATGCTGTAACGTCGAGGACGTTACAGTATGTTTATGTCTCTCTACTCATTCATTTAATATTTGTATACTTGCATAGTAGATATTTTAGAGTGTGTTTAATCCTGAATCTTTTATTGTAATTATTTTTATTTGTTATATTAGCACACCCCCTCTTTTATTAAATTTCATCTCTCCATCCTATGGTTGTCTGGCAGAAATTGCTATATAGCGATAAGACCGCCAATTGTTCACTATTTAAGTTTTGTCCTATTTAATATGGTGTGCACAATAAAGTGTTATCTATCTATCAGCCATGCACAGGCCTTCCCTGTGGATGGAATAGGGAGATTGGGTCATGGCCCACCACGCGGGCCCAGTGCGGATTCGTGGGAGCTAACGACTGCAGATGCAACCGGGACCAACGGCTTAACATGCCTTCCGAAGGAGGAACTCGAGATAGAAGGTTTTTGGTCACCCATCCAATGACTAACCACTGCGAAAGTTGCTTAACTTCAACGATCGCAGCCGAACGCGCTAACCACTTCCGCCATCGAGCTCTTCAAAAACTGTATTCTTTAAATATTAGAACTGATACGACCTCCAACGAACGCATTCTTAAATCGCACTATTCGCTTAATCTGTGACGTCCTATCACTTCACAACGAACACTGTCCTGTGACGTCATACCAGGAGGCCTACTCTAATACAACGAAAAACGAAATTTCGATCGAAACTCCGCACTTTTCTTACTATATATCTGGTTCGTTTTTAGTTATAATAATATTCGTTGTCGGAATATAAATTGAGGTGTAGATTTTTTAAGCCTACTCAAATAAGCTTCAATTTGATAGTTCATCGTTCAAATTAAGTATAATCTTAAATTGACGTAATTAAATTTCGTTTGAACTTCGTTATCGAAAGTTCGTTTCGGAGAAAGAGAGTAGTATTTTTAGTTCTCGTTACGTCCATTGTGGCGCTGCTGTTCAAGTTTTCATACAAAATATGGTATTGACATTTCGCACTCGCAAACGATACGAATTCGAAATTGGTTCGTGCTAAAAGTAAAGTTACATACCTATAACTAACGAATTGGAAACAATATGGAAGCATTACGCTCTAACAAAGGCAGCTTAAACATCGTTCAAATGAATTTTGACGACCTCCGTGGCCGGGTGGTTTGTACGCCGGGTTTCATGGTGTCGCCGACTCGAGAAGTCCCGGGTTCGAGTCCCGGTGGGGGCAGATGTTTGTGTGACGAATACTAGCATTTGTACACCAGTCATTGATTTTTCTGTATCTATTTTGTATTTTTATATAAATATATTTATATATGGACAGTATATACAGGGTGGTCCAATTAGTGACGTCAACATTTTTTTTTATATTCCTCGTACCTTGGGGTATCCTAAAATACCCTATGTATGTTCCGCGATTTTTCTTAGTTTTCGAGTTATATATTTTTTTTGTGTATTTTTAATGATTTCTGCCGGTGAGGTTTAAAAAAATCATATCTTTTTTCGTAGTAGGTATTTTGCAGTCTGTTTTTTTTTTGTGACATAATTGTCTTAAATGTTGTTTTAATAAAAAAAAATAGCTCAGCTTTCTGAAATTACTTAAAGTTACTCAAAAAAAACTTGAAAGTTGGAACTTTATTTTTTAGTAGGATTTACATTCAACTTTAATTTAAAAATACAAAAAGGAGTTTCCGTAGCTTCTGGCTAACTTTAAAAAGCGCAAGCTTCTGAACTACCAAAAATCATAATAAAAATAGTGCTTGATAAAAAAAAGAAAAAGTTCCAACTTTCAAGCCTTTTTTGAGTAACTTAAAGTAATTTCAGAAAACTGAGTTATTTTTTTTATTAAGGCAATATTCAAGAAAATCATGTCACAAAAAACACTGCAAAATACCTACTACGAAAAAGGATATGAATTTTTTAAATTTTCTTTACCTTTAACAATTTTTTATTAAATGTTTTGGTCATACATAGTTTGAAATCGGTCATCTAATATTGTGTGCAGGTAGGGTTACCATCCATCCGGATTAGTCCGGACATGTCCGGACTTTTAGACTAAAGTCTTTAAAAAAATTAATTTACATTTAATATGAATAATAAAAGTAGGTACATTATTGATTTAAATACCATACCATTGTAACTAAGTGAGGAATGGTACCATTGTACCTATAAAGTCCGGACTTTTTTCGGAATGTCAGGATTTTTATCAGGACTTGAAATTCCTAAATGGTGCAGGTGACCCGCGAGGATACGGAGATCTGGTTCTTCCACGAGGACTGGGTGGAGAAGGTGCCTCCAGAGTTTGTTCACAAACAGCTCGCTGTCGTGTTCAAGACCCCGCCTTACCGTGACCAGAGCATCGCCCGCCCTATTACGGTATTTAAAAAAAAATACATTTAAAAGCAGATTTTTCGTATCGCTTTAGAAGCGAAAATTAATTATTTAGATACCTAACATTCGTAATTGAAATGAAAAAATAAAAATATTTGTTTCTTAGGTTTTCACGAATTTCACTCATTAAATAAAACAAGTTTTAGCGGGTTAGACGCACTGATTTTATTTATTAATTAGTGGCCCGCCCTAGTTTCGCTTCGGGGTAGAATTGATCAAAATCCTTTCTTAGCGGATGCCTACGTCATGACATCTACCTGCATGCCAAATTTCAGCCCGATCCGTCCAGTGGTTTGGGCTGTGCGTTGATAGATCACTATGTCAGTCAGTCACCTTTGAGTTTTATATATATAGATTGACGATTCGCACCCTTAGTAGGAATGAGACATCAGAATAATGATTTTTTTATTTACTTATTAAAGTATTACTTAGATACTTATATGGTATGGTGCTTATTAGTATTCAAAATAATGATTTTTTTATTTACTTAATAAAATAAATAAAAGAATCTTTATTCTGGCGACGCATTCCTGCAAAGGGTGCGAAATGTCAATAAATAAATAAAATCAGTGCATCTAACCCGTTGAAACTTGTTTTATTTAAAATAATAAAAAAAGTTTTTCCAATAGGGTATTTGACAGTATTAAAAATAAAGTGCCAATAGTTATCATCTGTGTTTAGAATGAATATTGGCAGGGGTAATAATTTTACTAAGAACCCACGAAAAAGACAATAGTTTTCTTATCTATTGTCACGTGACCCAAAACGCCTGGTATTGGCGGAGCCTAAAATGACGTCACACGCAAGTAAACTTCCGGTTAAAGTGACATTAAATTGTATCGTTTGACGGTTTTAATAACAGTCGTGTGACGCCACACACTAGTAAGACGCCATATTGTCCAGAGAAACGTTTTCGCGGCAACTTGAAAATGGAGTCTTTGATTTGGTTATTTTTACTGAAATACACAACAGAATGATGAATATCCACTTTTTACGGACTCTTTATGGAGTCATTAGTCAATAACGTGAGATCGTTTTCTAAAACTTGTCAAATACCCTATAGTCACGGGTGTTTATTAATTAGTCGAAATCAATATAGCTTACATGGGTCATAGTTAAAGCGATGAAGTCAGACGCTATAACACCAGTCCCCGTAGCATGTGCACCACAATTTATATTATATCACGTTTTTATCGCGCCTAACTGTCAAACTTAGTAGTAATTTGACAATAGGGTATTTGACAAGTTTTAGAAAACGATCTCACGTTATTGACTAATGTGCATGGAGTCCGTAAAAAGTGGTTATTCATTATTCTGTTGTGTATTTCAGTAAAAATAACCAAATCAAAAACTCCATTTTCAAGTTGACGTTTCTCTGGACAATATGGCATCTTACTAGTGTGTGACGTCACACGACTGTTATTAAAACGTCAAACGATACAATGTTATGTCACTTTAAACGGAAGTTTACTTGCGTGTGACGTAATTTTAGGCTCGGCCAATCCCAAGTGTTTCGGGTCACGTGACAGTAGATAAGAAAAGTATAATCTTTTTCGTGGGTTTTTAGTAAAATTATGAATATTTTTTTTTATAAAAATAGTCAAAACTCCAGCCAATATTCATTCTAAACACAGATGCTAACAATTGGCACTTTTTTTTAATACTGTCAAATACCCTATTGAGCGTGATAAAAACGTGTTATATATCATATCGTGATGCTCATGCTAAGGGGGGCAGGACGATATCAAATGAACCCCTCGTTTACATCAAGAGATAAGTCTTATACAAGTTTTACACAAAACTAGTAGAATACTTGTTGTGACATTCATTCGTTTACATTGACAACGAATATCTTTACAAGTATAAATCACTATTCACTTCACTTATTTTGTGTATTTGGATACAAACTTGTTGGCAAGTTTTATTTGCATTGCATGTTCCATAACATCGCACGTCACAAACAATAGGAAAAACCATTTATTTTTTTATTTGCGTTTCGAAAACTACATTTTTTTCTCTATAAACTGGTAAGATAATTGTATTTTAATTCGAAATAGTTTTTGAATTATAGCAACACATGTAGTCAATTTCTAGGCAAAATTTACGATTGTGAGTATTGTAAACAGTATTAGGTTAATAATACCCTATTGCCCGGTCGGATTAATACAAGTTTGGAGTTTTATTTAAAATAATACCCTCTGGCCTGTTCATTTTTATTTAATATGTTATTTTCAGCGAAATTATTTTAAAATGATACTAGTTTTAATTTTAACATGAACCTTTTGAACTGCTCATAGGGTATTCTCTTTACCCAGTCACATAAAAGTACTTTTAAAATAAAAACTACTATTGATACACTAACTTAACTCACTCAACACAAAGAAGGATAATGTACGTTTAAATCAAGGTATCATTTTAAACATTTGAACAAGTAGTTCCGCTTCTATGATTTTTTAAAACTTCAAAACTCGATATCTCAAAACACTGTTTTTGAAGATAATGTTTGTGACTTGCGACATGTATTATATGTGTGAACAAAAAATTAAGACATTTAATTTTTTTTATGTACCTTAGTGTAAACGAGAGGTAGGTAAAAATATACAAGATGACTTGATTTTGCCCTCATTCAAAGATGTCAAGTACTATTAAGTTTCGATGAAAGCTTAAGCAATTCCTCCTCCCCAAAGGTACAATTCCAACTGCACCGCGTTTCCGACCACGCCAAGAGCAACGTGTACAGCTTCGAGTACATCCCCGAGGGTCAAGGTACCAGGAAACCCCTCCCCGATCTAGCCTCCCTCGCCGCCCTCCTACCCTCCAACCTACCCCCTACCTCTACCCCTGTAGCCCAACCCACCCCCGATACCAACAACAACGAACAAGCCCTAGTCTCCTCCACCAGCGACACTTTGAGCCCCGAAGACTCCGCTTCCTTAACCATAGACATGAACGGAAACAATGGCGACGCGGAAATGCCCGACTCCAACGAGCGCAGTCTCAACGAGCTGCTCGACCAAGTCGCTGAACTAGACGAAATATACACTGAGAACAGAACGCGTTTGGAAAACATGTCTTCATTGAACGACGACGATTTGGAGGACTTCAACGACGCCGGCACATATACTAGCCTCCAACTGGCATTCAGAAATCCTGTAGCCATCTCGGAACCACCTCCGAATCCGAACTATGAGGATACCGCCATAAGTTACCGCGGTCCGATTATCGAGTTCGCGCCCCTGAAACGCGATACGGACGACAAAGCCCCGCCCTTACCCCCGAAGCGAGTCCGCAAGGTCTCCACTACGGAACCGTTCAAAACGAGCCAAACTTCCGTGGACAGCATCTTGAAACCCGGTAGAATGTTGCCGGTGACCAGAAACCCTGAAGTTCTGGTTACGAAGCAGAACGAGCTGACGGTAGCCCGCAGCGAACCGGCTCTGCCTCCGGTCAAGAAGCGGTCTTTTTTCTCCCGCCTGTTCAGGAGAAAGGAGAAGTCTCCGGCGCCCAGCGTCAAATCCGAAGGTCGGAAGGAGAAGAGATCGAAACCGGTCGGTAGATCTGTAAGCAGCGTGTCCGGCCAGAGGCCGTCCAGGTTCAAATCCTCCGTTTCGCACACTTCTTTGAAGGATAACGCTTCGAACGCTGGCCTGAGTTACGCTGACAGCATCACACACATATCTTTGCACGCGGATGAGGACGAAAAGTCCGCTTCCCAACCTTGCTTAGGTCCTTTAGGCACCGGAATGCCGGATGGGACCATTTTAGTCGCTGAAAGCGTACTAGCTTTGGATGCGAACGCTTTTAAGAAGCTACAGGATGATCTAGAATTGACGGAGGCGGAACACTACGCCCTGTATATGGCGGTCGCACCGCACGCCACCGCGTCAGAATTCGATGAGACCAGTTGCTACTATTCGCCTGTAGACGCTAGCAAGTTTCATAATTGAGAAAACGAAATAGTGCCTAATTACTACAACATTGACGGCTTAGATTTTTTTTTTACAATGTTACAATTATATTAAAAGAAAACAAAGCAATTACAATAATATAAAACCAAACTGTAACTCTAAATATGTGGGCATAACATGATAAAATTTTATGGGCTGAAGTTTACACTAAAGAAAAAAAAATATATAAATCGAATTTCAACAATTAAACAACAAAAAAAACACTTAAATAAAAGAAAAAATATTAACCGATTTTCTCTTTTTAACGAAGAATTCATAGTTGGATTTCTTTCCGAAATTTAAGAAGCCGACTACAAAAAATGTCCAAGGAAGAATGATCCCTATGCAGGTTATCGTATTGACGACACATATTTGTGATTGGATTATAGGACGTGTTTTTTTTTATAAACTTGCAGAGCAAATACCCTGTGAGGTAAGCGTTGAGGTAAGATTGCTCTGAGATTCTAATAAATTAGAGCCAAAGGAATATAATTCTTAAATACCTACGATTTACAGTTCTAAATGCTTTGAGTGTTTTATAATTAGCAATGCTGTATGAGCATGTTATGAATTCGTGAATATTATTAATATTTTATGTCGAAGCTACGTTATTTCTTTACTAAAGACTCTTAATATCAAACGCAGTAAGGTTTGAAATTGTAGATTTTTTTAAAGAGTAATGAATTATCTAAAGGTATGAAATGTAAGTCATATAAACTGTTTTGTTTCAATGTTATATTTTTTGTTAATTTCTATCTTTGCTCTAGATATTTTTAACTAACGCGATGTATGACAGTGGAATCACTCGAATCTACCATGATTGATTAGATATTATATCGTAACTTTAACGATTTTAGAAAGATAATGCAAAGAAGGCAGCTATTTTCATATGCGAAATCGTAGTATAAATATTATGTCGTAGCAACACTATCGGTGTTAATTAATATAAGCAATAAAATTAAGTATTTTCTAAATATTTCAAATTTAAAACCATATAACATAATGATAACGTAACTAACTTAAAAAATCTATTCTTTTGGTAGCGGTCTATCGAAAAATTCCCTATTTTTATAAAACTAAAATGGAACGTAAATATAGGTAGTTAGTGAGAGCAAAAACTAGATGTTGTGATAAAAAATATTAATAAATTAAAAAAAAAACTTCGAACGAAATGAGCAAAACGAAAATGGCTATTGAAATAGAAGAACGAGCTATTGAAATACAAGAAACCCTCCCAAAATATTCCTGCCCTGCCACTTCCTCCCGTCCTAGAAATGCCAAATTTTTCTATCCTTTTATAACTTTTTGTATTATTATACCTATATCAGTTTTGTACTAAATTAAAAAAAAAAATGTTGGTTCAAATATTTCTAGTCTTAATTAAAACAATATTTTATATTTGTTATTTACTTCTTTTTTGTTAATGAAGCTTTAAAACTTGTGTTCTAGTCGTTAAGATGTTTGTGTTGCGTTGTCTAATGTCATATTATTGGTATGTTTCTAGATATACAGTTTATAACAAACATTAAGAAAAGGAAGAAAATGTCGCACAATTTACAGGAATACGATGATAGTAAGTGTCTTCTCGGTTATTACATCATTGCCATTGTAAATGTATTCCTATTCTTGGTGCGGTTCAAATGGCACTGTCGAGGCCACCCTTATTACATAAGTAATAAGAGCAATATTCCTGGAGCGAGTGCTCCGGATATCGTGGCCTTGATTGTACTCAATTAACATTATTTATGTGTAAAATAACAAATTATATAAGCTACCTTATATCATATTGTACTTTCGCTAACCTCATAGTTTAAAATTTATCATAATTTATTTATAAATAGGTATAAATTATTATTTTATTATTATCATCTTATTTTCTCACCAGCGGTGAAGGTGTATTACTAACTAATTAGATAAATTCAATTAACGTAATTTTATTATGAAGGAGAAGGAATGTTTAAAGAAGTATAATATTATATTATCATGCTTAAATTTTTTATGGTGGTATTAATAACTTAAGCTGACACTGTAACACAATGTATTAAAAATACACAAAATATGAAATCATAATATAATGCGATTCGAATAAGAATAGGAAAGCCAATGACAAATCCAAGCCAATCTGTCAAATGTCGCTTGAAAAGTACGGTTTGCAAAAAAAAACTTGGTACCCTTTTTTAGCACTCCGCTAATTCTCGAATCGAAAAACCAAACATTTGTAAACAAACAATAACCAATATTGATAATTAATATCGGTAGATTTTTTTTTTCACTTATTGAGCTTTGGCGATGAATGGTTGTTAACCTAAATCGTCAAACAAATGTCACTTTAAGTTGCGTTCAGAAACTCGATTTCAAACTTTCGTTTACATAAAGGATGCATGTTCGTATGTGACCTAGTAATAGTGCATGATTATTCATAACTACTCCGGCGGCAGAGATGAGCCGAATAGAAGAGCTAGATTCTGATTAATGTTTTTTCTCACAGTCTTGAAAAAAAACCACCGATTTTTCTCACAGTCTTAATAAATAAATATTATTTTCAATCTTAGTAAATAAATGTTATTAAAAAAACTGATGCTTTTTCTCACTTAATCTTAGTAAATAAGTTTTATTAAATTAAAACTTTTTTTTTGCTCACTCTACCTATTTGGTTTGAATTGACAGCAATGACATCACAATATGGCGCCCAGTCGGCCCTATTCTTAGTTGAATTGCATTATAAAATTTACGATTTTGTATATTTTTAATACCCACAACTTAAGTGGGGCCAATGGCGTACGAAACACTTCTTAAAAAAACTAGTTTTTACAAATATTAAAGTGTAAGAAACACAGATATATGATGCGCATATAAACATCACAGTACATAAATAAAAGCCTGCCTTTTTACGTGTCAGCTTAGTTAATGCATTATTTAATGTCTTTAGTAATATCGTGAAAGTACTTACATTCACATCAACACGCATAAATTATCTTTCTATACCTAAAAATCACATTATCCATGATACTATGAAAACAAATAAACAAAAATAATAAATTGGTCATGATGATTCCGTGGTTGCTACGTAATATTCGACTTTATCGTGTTGTTAACAAAACCTACATCTCGGTAAAGACTAATGAGTGGAGATGTGTCAAAGAAACTTTTTGTTTTGTTATGAAAACTATTCCAAATAATGTATGTGCAGCATAGAGCGACGCGGCCAGGAGGGGAGGCATTCACAGCGTTCCCCTCTGTCGATTTTCTCCCACTGTTGGGCCAGCTCAAAAACAAACATATATAGTTGCTCGTCGGATATTTCACCAGACTGGGTCAAGTCGCGCTAGTGTAATCAAAAATGCCAAAATGTTTTGTAATTAGCTGTAAAACATTCTGCCCCTCTAGCATGACCACCGAAACGGGATATGATAAAGCGATATATCGGCCTTAACTGTCAGACTACAGTGGAGTTTGACAGTAGTCTGACAGTTAATGCCGATATATCGCTTTATCATATCCCGTTTCAATGGTCATGCTAGAGGGGCTGGAATATTAAATTTGCCAAAGGATGGTGTTACATTTCACATATAAGTAGAATTATTAACGTGTTGTTTCTATTTAACCACCTTAAAACACAAAATTCATATTGTTTTGTTAAAATTCAATCGTTGGACTTGTTTGACAAAACAATCGACTCGCCAGATTACAAATTTCAGATCTGTCAATAAAAAATCTTATGTTTCATCTATGCCCGATTTAGCGCTGTATTTTTTTATGTGCGAGTGTCGTAATTACAATAGGGGTGATGACGGGGTACAGTAAACGAAATTCTATTTAGTCCGTCAATTAGATGATGAAATAATAATTGACACGTATTTTTTCTTTGGGCAATCAACCAAAAAATGGCAAAGTTATAGCGCGTCAAAGTTTGGGAGTAGGAGCTCATGACGTCACTTTTTAGTGAATATTCGCTTAAAAGTGTACTCAAACGTGACGTCATGCGACTTTTCAAATTAATATATATCTCTGCAATGTTTATATTATATGAAATAAGAAAAAATACGTGTCCAATATATTTTGATAATCTATCTGATAAACGAAGAAAAAAAAATAGTTATCATCCCAATTTAGTTTTTTCGATAGTATGTTGCATAAAATATACTGCAAATGCAGTCCATTTGTGTGAATATTCTTCCCCCCGCATATAGCGGCAAAATAATTCCAGTAGTATTATGTCATTATGGCTACTCTTCTCCTAGTCGCGTCGGCTGTGTTGCTCCATGATGTGCAGTGTTTATCGATATCATAATTAAGCTTAACATTTCAACAGTAAAATTTAAAGTATACATTGAATGGGGCTTTTCAATTATGGAGAATGATCTGAATAGAACGTAATTTAATTACATTATTAAAAAAAAATGCACGAGTATATTACGAAAGAATACAAAAAATATATATATAAATTCTTTCAATTGATACAATGGTACTAAATGAACTGTGTTATGATAAAAATCGCTGAGTATGACACTATTATCTAAATATAGTGCAGGTTCTGCAGCGAAAGTGCTATAAGTACAAAAGTTATCGTTTCTGCGATGCTTCAAGCTAATATGGATATGTGTGTTTTAACAGAATTTTTATTTAAAATTTGGGTAGGCGAAATGCTGTCTATTAAAAACAAGTTGTTGTTTTTAGCGCATGATAAATTGTAATCTTATAGTAAATTCAAATTTTACTTTATTTTATTGTTATTCGTTATGTTTTTTTTTTAATATTGAATTTGAATGTTTCAAAATTGTTATTCAGTATTTCGGTAGTATTTAGAAACATTGTTTAATTCTTTTCGTCTTGCGTAAACGTGTGTGACACGTGTGTGTTATTGTTGTGAAAAACTATATGCGGAACATATCTATCATTGAACATTTTGAAATACATATAATTATAAATATTAAAAATAATGAGGTTTTAGAGGAATTTACATCAGAATCGCGTATTTATTGTAAAGTTTATACTAGATTTACAGACACTAAACTGAGCAGTGAAACATTTCAAATTATCGTTTTTGACAAAAAAACAATTTGGGATGTTTTGTTGCTCGGGTTCCATTGAGATTTTTACATTTTTATAATAAATATATTTGAAAACAAAAATGTTTGTAGTGAAGCTTGATTGATGCGAATTCAATATTAATAATGCTAATTTTAAAAAGGAATTGTTTTTCATTTTCGATTTTGAACGAGATCCTTTCACGTAAGAAGCGAAGGTACGGATGTGTTTTGTGGCATGGCTGTTTTTTTTTCTTTGGTTTAATTCTTTTTCACACATATTCATGTTATCTTTGAGTGATTTTTTTTAATACGACCTGCATGATCCTTTTTGTTGGTGAGGTTTCTGCTTTTTATTTATTTATTAGAATAGAATTATTTACATATTTCTGTTGTCTTAATACTGACATTCTAAGGTAAAAATTATACTGTACGTTGCATGCGAGCTTTCATACATTTTATTTTTTTAACAACTGTCGTTAGGCTTAATTGTATTTTTTTAATGGTAAACTATGACATACCATTAAATTTAGTTTGATTTGAAGGTTGTTTCTGTGGATTATTTTAAAAGAAAAAAAAAATACTGAGGCAGACGCTAACACAAGAATGCATTAAAAATTACTATAAATACATATGATCTTAATATGATATTAAATAAATTAATAGTGATATTATTTTAAGTGACAAGCATTTTTGTGGTTAGTGTTGACCCGAATGTGACATATAACCAGTAGTAATAGTTAGATAAATTATTTTTCTTATTTAGTAATCTTTTATTACTATCTCCAGGGCTGCTACAAGACATGCAGATCAAATCGGAACCTCGAGGTAAGTTAAAATTCAAAAAAAATATTCAAAATTCAATATCGTTTATTCAGTCTAGGCTGTTACAAGCACTTGTAAATGTCGAAAAGCTACGCCATCGGTTCGCAAATCTACGGCGGGAGACCTTGTACTGAGAAGAACCGGCAAGAAACTCAGCAAGGGCTGTTTTTTTCTCCCTGTATTATATACAGAGTCGTCAAATTGAAAAATGACTTCAATATGAGGTAACTCATAAAGTCACTTTTCATTACAAACAAAAAAAATGCAAATAATATAAAAATTATGACTATAAAATAAAAAATAAAAAAATGTAAAAAAAAATGGTTTAACAAAGTTTAGGAATGACGTGTCCTACCGTTTAGGCAAAAAAAAAATAATAATAATAATGAACGATTAAAGTTTAGAACAACGATTAATAGTACCCAGTGAATTAAGAGCAGACTCATCTCCGCTGGCAGCACCCGTTCACGAGCATGACGCATGAACCAGCCATCGCTTC